TAATTAATTATTGTTGGATCAAATTAAAATTAACGGTTAAAAAATAAAAGGGTTATAATTGAAAAGTGTGTTCACCAAAAAAAATAAAAAATTTTGAGAAGTGAAGGTCCATGGTTTTTAATATTTTTTCTAAAACACCCCTTTACATAATGAGGCAGTTATACTTATTATTATTTTAATTTTACTATTTTTACTATGTAATTAATTATTGTTGGATTAAATTAAAATTAACGGTTAAAAAATAAAAAAAGTTAATTGTCGTTAATTTCAAATTAATCACGATAACTAATTACGCAGTAAAAGTAGTAAAGTTAAAATGGTAGTAAATATAATCTTCCCTTTATGCAACATCATTTTGAACCTGAACCGCGAGTATTTCAAGAATCCATTTTTTTAATTCTATCATGTACTTACTTAATTCCTCTAGAATGCCGGAGGCGTTAGGATTGAACTTGTGATCCCCTATTCACCTTGGCTCTGATATTATATAAAAAATTATTTCAACCCAAAAACTTAAATTAGTAAGTGAGGATAAAAGAACACTACTAAAAATGGTAGCCACCACCAATTTTAATTTAGGTTTGAGAAAATTGAAAAACCTTTTGTCTTTATGCACTGGTCTTAAAATTCAAAGAGATTTGAGACACCGTTGTGCGTGAAGAAAGATGGAGAATAAATCTCACAGCACCCCCAATTCACCTATCATAAAATGGTTACCTTGAATCGATTGCATGAAATTTTCTTTTACCCTTTAAATAATTAGTTATAAAAATTAACAAATAAAAATTAAATTCTAATATTTACTACAAAACTAAGGAATTAATTTAAATATTTACAACAATGAAATAATGATAATTATTAAAAAAAATTACAAGAAAGCTTGGCTTGACAGAGTAATCCCCTCTCCCCTAATGCAATGGGAAATTCAAACCAACATAGTTCTTAAGAAATAATTCTCTTCAAAAATAAAAAATAAAAAATAAGAAAAAGATTATTACCTTATTTTCTTCTACAATCTTTTTTCTTCTAATAATAATATTTAGAAAATGTTTATAGCACAGCTCCTTTTTTTTTTTACACTAGCACAACACTTTTTAACTAAGCAATAACAAAACTAAACTTTATATAATCCAAAGTAAAGAAAACTCGATTTTTTTAATAATATAGCCTAAAATGCAAATACCACACCGACTCATAATTACAGTAATCATTTTTTACTTATTATTACTTAATCTAATACATTCTCATGAATCTATATTTCTTTAAGGGGGTGTTTGTTATGTAGATTTTGTTTAGAATGATGGGGAAGTGGGGTGTGAAAAGTTTGTTGTCAGTGTTTGGTATAAGTTATTGTGATTTATTGCCTCCAAAGTTTTTTTCCCATTAATCCCCATTTGCACTAAGCAGTGGATAAAAATTATCTCCCTCAGCCTATGGTATTTATTTTTCTCCAATACTCAGATTCTGATTGTAATGAATTTAGACCATAATGCCCTCATGATATGTTGCATTCTGAATTTGTGGTGAGTTGAGAGTTGATAGTGTGATAGGCAAAGACGACATGCACAATTTCGAGAAGTGATTAAGACATTGTTAAGACATGGAAGGATTCAAAAGGACACAATACACAGTTCAAAATTCATGGGTAAATTATGTTAACTTTTCCTTCAACATTTTACAATTAACCAAACACATTATCAATAAAATTAAGCATATTTTTCAGGTAAAATTTTGACCTATCAAACAACTTTTTGTTATTTTTCAGGACTAAATTATTTCCCATCATATTATCAGAAATCTTTTTTTCCGGACAAAAAAATATCTCTCGTACCAAACACTCCCTAACTTCAGTCATTTTTTTTTTTTTTATTCTAATCCATGAAAATTTAAACAAACTTCCTAGAAATATATCTCCAAACGTTACATGCTAGTCAAAATTCAGAATTCAAAGCATTTGTCAACCAATAATCTTAGATGCATCCTGACATCCTGTCAACTTTCATCAAACATTGTTATTGAATATGAAATAAAATGTATTTAAAACAAACAAATGAGAAAAATTATTACCATTTGATCTTTGATTTTTTTTTTTAAAAAATAAATAAATAAAAGGTGCAGGGAGCTAAACATAAACATATAGACAAAGAAAATTTCCTAAAAATTTTTGTGGTTTATTGATTCCTTATTTTTCTAATTATATCATTCTTTTGCATAATAAAAATCAAGATAATATAAGAATGTTTGAAATTCCTTCTGTCTACATATTCTTTACTTGTACAGGAGCTATAAAATGCTCTAATTTTTACATTAAAATTTTATTATATAAAATAATCATAGATCAGAACTCTTATACATACAGAAACTCATTTCTTATACAAAAATATAACATATAAAAGATAATATAAATTATAATATTCTTGTCCCAAAGTCATTCACAAACAGTATCCAATCAGAACATGATGCAGTGGACTGGAGTATTGATTGGATTTTTCTTCTGGGCCTATTTTTATTAGGCTTTAGGTTTCCCTTAGAATTGTTTCATGTTTACATGATAGAACAATGTGTACTCAAATGCTGGCCCTCACATTACAAATCCAAATGAAGAAACTACCGTTACTCCTTTCTAATATAGAAGAACTATTCAGCTCAGTAACGTAATTCATTTCAGCTTGGGCATTATTTTGCACCATTTGCATTCAACATCATAACCCTTGAAAGACGGGGCTTTCTGCAGCAGCTCAGAGAAAAAAATCCCATGAACATTTAATTCTATTCAATGTTCTGCTGAATTTTCACTTGGTAAAATCGTACAGGACCATGACTCAACTCTTCTATCATTGACAAATATGACCATTGTTCAAAAGAGTTTATTGGAATTTATTTTTAAATCAAGTAGTTTCATAATTTTGTTACTTGAAAATGAAATTTATTTATTAAAGTTATTGGAATGAATATTGGAAGAAATATGAGTCCATAACAAATAATTTATTCCCTCACTAATGCCGAAAGCTAATGGATACTACAGTAGCAAAAACCGAGAAAAAAATTTTATCCAAGAAACTTTTTCCTTTTTTACTACCAAACGTGGCATTATAATTTTCCCTAACATATTTTTTTCCAGGAATTGAAATATAATCCTGGTTTCAAACGTCCTCGAAAGAAATTGTAGATTACCACATTTTCAGCAAAATGTGATCTGTTCTAAAAAAACTATTATTCTTGTTTCTTTCTTCCATTTTTCAATCTCCAGTGTCCTTTTGTCACTGCCATAAATGACAGTTTGAATTATGAGGTCACACCTTGTCCAAGTGTCCTTGCAAACTGCAATAAATGTTATCTACGATAGGAAGACAATTTCACAAAATGCACCCCTGCTTATGTAATATTGTTCACAATATCCCAATAAATGCGTTCGACAAAAACAAATACCTATTTAATTCATTTTTTATTTTTATTTTTAAATTAGGAAAACAAGTATTTAATGTTACTTTAGATAACTTTGTCTAATGTTCATTGAAACGACGTTGTTTTGAGATTAAAAAATAAAAAAATTAGAATAACAAAGACTATTATAACTTTGAAATAAATTAAAATTACAAAAACACCATAATTTTCGCCCAAAACAACGTGATTTTGATGAACATCAAATAAAATTATCTAAAGTAACTTTCGAAAAAACAAACCCTTCAAATTAATGTGGCAAGTTTATGCTAGACAAGTTTTGAACATGCGACACTTATTGTCAACATAAATGAAAGTTCTGCTAATTGACCATACTTACAGGACTTATTTGTCACTTGTGTAAGTCTCACATTTTTGTTGTTAAATTCTAAATGTTTGTCACGCAGAATTTTCAAATTAGCATTAAATTCCATATAATTAACATGCGGGACAAGTCCGGGGATTGGACTTACAATTAACATACGAAATTGATCATATTAATTTAAAAAATCATTTAAAAATAAATTAAATAAATATTTAAAAAAAATAATTGGTCAGAAAGCCAATTAATATAACCGTTGTTATATCTTCCAAGAACTAAATCAAGGGTAAATACTCATGATTTTGCCACCTATTGGTAACATATATACCATTTGTGACACAAAAAATATATCCTTTATTTTTTCAAATTTTTAATTTAACTGTTAAAGAAACAATAGGCATAAAATCACTGATAAACTGATTTTAAAAGATTAAGTGAAAGCATAAATGCATGATACAAGTCAAAGACTATAAGAATACAAAACTCATAATAAATTAATCATTGACAATATTAAACAATTAATCATTAAAAATTCTAAATTTAGCAGGATATACCGATTTGAGAAACAAAGGCCACTATTAGAATTATATAGGGATATTGTTGGTGTGAAGAGAGACAAATACCAAGTAAAGACATCATCACTATTATAAGAAAGAAAACCAATGTAAATATAAAAGGCTAAAGGGTATCAGAATTTCAAGAAATGGTAAACGATTCATTCACCAAACCAGAGCAGAGCACAATGCTGACAAACACCGTAACACATTAGGCAATGAAAAGAAGGCTCCACTATTCAACTTTAACCTCCCAAACACGTTACCACCCGTGAACTCTCTATTGAAACTATCATCACCGTTCATCTTCATGGACCATATATCACATCAAATCCATTGGCCAATATCTATCCCCCACTCACTTATGTTCTGTGAAAAAATCTCAAGTACTTTCATTTCATACACATGCTACTGCTAGCAAGTAGCAACAATCCCCACTGACAAAAAATCATCAATCACATGCAATGGGAAAATAGTTATATGGTATAAGCAAATCTAATTGTTTTTTTTATCTATACCAAGTGATCACATACTAATTTTTTTTTTCTTTTTTATTCTACATTATACTAATACATTACTACGTACCTCTAAGTAGGCATTAACAAGTTCAGAATGATAACAAAAAAAAAAAAAAAGGAGCAACACTAACAACATAAGCAAAACATCATATAGCTCCTACAAGGCTACAACTGTTGGAGGCTTAACTGAGTCTCAGATGGTGTGTTGCAGCATTTGCGGACAAAATAGCGATAAGCAGCAACTTTTTTCTTCCTTGAAGCAGTGTTATCAATAGAGAGTACCATTTTGCCTGGTTCTTTTGATGTGTATGAGTTATGGATTGCTTCTTCTGAGGCTTCAATCTGCCTTGGCTTCTCAACTGCTATGATGTAGCTACCTTCTGCTATTGGGACATACTCAGCACTGTATTCCAAGTCCCAGCCTCCAACCACAATGTCCCATGTGATAGTGGCACCACTCTAACCATTCAATAGCAAGTAATTAACAACAAAATATTTTCCATATGTACCAAATCATAAGACTTTTGGCTTAGATCATGCTTTTGACTTGAAAATCCAAAACCATAAAGACAATAAATTTTTTTTTTTTTTCTAAAGAAGAAACCATTATAATCTTTCATAAGGAAGAGTACAATGGGGTGAATTGTTACCTCAATTCCTTCTATTTGGATGTTCACTTTCTCTCCTCCTTTAACTGTAAACTCAGATGCTGGTTTTGGGGGACCATTCTGTAAATCGTTTGGCCGACTCAGTCCTCCATATCGAGCAGGAATGTCCTCAGGCCTTATAAATCTGAACAGAAGACAACAAAACCTCCTCAAATTTCAAATACAAAAAGTGAAATTGTGGGGTAAGGGGGATTTTGTTTGATATGTGGCATTGTAACACAATGAAATCCAAGGAAAGACAACTTTAATTAAAATAAAAATACAAATCAACATAAAAATATAAGGCAGATAAGAAGCTCAGCTATTTTGAAATCCTTTCATAGATTAACATTAACAGGAAGAACCCAAATCAAAATTTTCTAATATTGTTTATTTGTGCACAGGAGAACATAAAAGCTATTGAACCATTGGACTTACTTGTAGAGTGTATCTGCAGCATTTCCTTCCTTAGAAATCACAAACTTGCTCTTAGTTCTTTGGGTCAGAAATGGACTGAACATTGAATACAACATACTGAAGTACCAGGGTACATTGATGAAAATCTGAAAGCAATAAAATGAGAAAAGAACACAGTAAAATTCCTTATCAAACCAAAGTTTGTGTATGATATGACATTGATAACAAACAAACAACCAACCAACTCCAATTTACAACAGATTCCTTTTTTCAAATAAAAACAAAAAAAAAATAAAATAACAGAATAAGGTCTTTTAAGGTACCTTACGAGCAACCATTTCAGGATAGTTGTCTTGGAACAGAGAGAGGATCTGATTAGAAACAAGCCTGAGCTCTTTCTTAGGCATGTCTTTAAGGTCTGTAACCTGAATGAGAGAATTGACCCCACCAGGCTTGAAATGGAGAAGGTTGATTCCTCTCTCAAGAACTTGAACCCTCCACCTCAAGAACTTCTTCAGCTTCTCTTCATCACCAAAAATCCTCTCATACATGTCCTTGTCTCTGAACACCCCATAAGCATTGTAGCACACAGGGTGCCCCTCTCTATCATAGCCTTGCGTATAAGAAACAACACCTTCAAGCTCTTTGAACCCCAATTCTTCATCGACAACGTTGTCAGCACCAAACTCACTCCTCCAAGACAAGCACTTGAGAAGCATGTTGAAAGCATCGTTAACCCTGAAGTCCCTAGCTCTGAGGAACTTCAAGAGCAACACATCAGCTCTATCATCACCACCAAGCAAAGGAACACCCCACATGGAAATGTGGTTCGATTCAGAAGCCACGAGCTTGTCCTTGAGCTCTTGCAGTGCTTTCTTCTCCGAAGATTTTAGGTGGGACACGAAGTATGTGTCTTCTTTGAAGGAAGGGGTGATGAAGGTGGCAGCTTCCATCAAGGTGGTGACTATGCTCTTCTTGTATGGCTTAGGAGAAACTTCTGGAAGGTCATGGAAGGGTGTGTTGGTGGCGGTGGTGTTGAGGATGGACATGGGAGAGGGAAAGGGAGATGTTGAGGTATCCATTGGTGATGAATGGGGTTTTTGAGTGAGACCCAGATGGAATCTCTGCATGAAAATGGAAAATGCAGGTTGATTTGAAGGTGGGGTTGTTGATTCTCTGCGAAAGCAGAGAGCTTTTTTAAGTCTCTCGCTAGTGTATGTATGTGTTAGGGAGAGGAGAGAGAAAGTAAAAGTGGAAAGAAACAAGAACAGAAATAGAAGAAGGCGAAAAACAACAACGACCAAGAAAAACAAAAAAAACACAAGGTTGTTTTTTATTTTTTTTATGGTTTGTAAAAAAGGTTGGATGTTTATTAGTGGGGAGAAGTGTGTATCATTTTGAATGAACACAAAGTTATGTCATTTCAAATGAGAGAAAAAGATAACGTGAGAAAATTTTTAAATGTGTGGGTTCCATTTTTTTATGATAGTGAAAGAATAAAAGATATGTCATTTAGAATGACACGCTTTTTTTCCTTATTAATTAGTAGGTAATAAAATTATCTACTATTTAATTAAATTACCTATACATATAAAAATATGTAGGGCCATATTAAATCATGTGAAAAAAAGAGATAAAAAAAAATATAAATACTATATATATTTTTATTTTTATGTATACAAGACATAAAATTATAGGTATAGATGTTCAGTTTGTTCTTCTTTGTATGGACTTCAAGTTCAGTTCAAGTTCTAAGGTGTGAAAGCAAATTTGAAAGGGTGAAGAGAGTCAGAGAGAGAGAGAGAGAGAGCACGCGCTGTTTTGAACTTTTGAAACACAGTATGAATTGTTTAAGAGAAATGGGAACACTGAAAGTGACCTTGGAGAAGTTTTATGGTGCACCCATCTTAGTTATATTTTATTAAATGAATGAATTTGATTGAGGAAAGAGAAGTAGCTGAAGATGTTAATGTTAAGATTTAAATTAATAAATTGTAAATGCATCCTTGACAAAATTTACTAATTTTGTGGATAAACACTATGCAAACTTTGGCGATGTGACACTGGAAAGGCCTTGATTGTATTTCTTTTCCCTTTTGAACTATTTCATCACAATTATTTACCTAATCTGAATAGAAACACCGACTGGTTCAGATTTTAATCTTTAATCATTTTGATATGAAATTATAGAGTATTCTCAATTAAAATAATTTAAGCTAAGCGCTCATAAAAAAAATGCTGGAATAGTCAAACATTACTTTTCAGGAGATGTTTGGTAAGATAGTTTTTTTTTTAGATCGCTGGAAAAGTGTAGGTGAGTATTTAATAATATCATGTTTGATACAAATTTGAAAAAAATTAATCCAGTAAAATAAGTTGCATAGAATTTGTCATTTGTGACTTTGTCTGCATTTTGTGATAAAAATTACTATTTCAAAATACTACTTCTAATGTGGTATTTTGGGATTACCAGCTAAGTGAAGAAATGAGTGTCTATCAAATAATTTTTTTTAACTTTCCTTCCAAACTCGTAAAATTTAATCTCATATTTTCAGTAATATTTCGACCTATTAAATAATTTTTTTTAACTTTTCTACCAAATTTACTTTCACATCATATGTCTAGTAATTGTATTTTTCTAATAAATTTTTTTTTTCCTCCAGCAATCGTCCCTGAAAATCATATATCTTTTGATTCCTTATATTTTTATTCCTTTTAGCTTCTTGAATTCCCATGAATTAAGGGTATGTTTAAGTTTTATTTTTAAAAATAGTATTTTAATTTTAAAAAAAACAAAAAAAACTTATTTGGTAAGCTCTATTTTATAAAATTTATAACTTTTTTAAATCAAATTTAGAAAATATATTTAAGTTTTTTTATTTTGACTTTTAATTTTTAAAATGAAAAAAATACCAAAAATACCTATTTCATTAATTATTCTACAAAATAATTTTAAGAAAAAAAAATAGAATACAATCAAACATGCCCTTAAATATGTAGATTTGTTCTGAATTTCAAAATTGCTTGCAGTATGTACTTCACCTCACCATCGTATACGACTTAAAAATGCAAATTTTAACTACTATAGAAACATATTATTACATGTGACTTTTAAGGGTTCAACACTGCATCCATCCTTCACAAAGCGGTACACCATTAAACTACACTCATTCAACAATTTTGTTTTCTCAATTAATTTGATAGAATTTGGATTATTGCTTTTGGCTGTGTAATTTTATTTTATTTTTATTTACAAACTAAATTTCATTCAAACAGAAATTTAACAACATTTATACTCCCAATAAAATGAAAAAAAATCTATTAAGAATAAGAGAATGATAAAATCTTTATCCAAAATTAATTCATGATTTATAATTGAGTATTATAAGAGTTATGTTGTAGAAAAAATGATTCTGTAATGTAATAGAAATTTATTTTGAGTGTCGTAATTTTTTTTTTTTGCTTCAAAAAGTGTGGGCCCCACAAAATATTGTGTGTAGAAAATTTTCTTATGTCCTGTTAAATGATAAATACAAAATCCCTAATTAATTAATTTCAGAGTCTATTGACTATTAAAGACAACATGTGTACTTCATTATGAAGACCCATACACAACATATTGCAGTATGCAAAGAGTATATAAGGGTATCCATGAAAAAAAACTTTGGAATCAAATTTTTTTTTGTATCCATGAAAAAAAACTTTGGAATCAAATTTTTTTTTTTTTAAATTTTTGTTCCTAGGAACAGAAATAGATAAAAAATTCATTTGGTAACATCAATTTACTTTTTTGTTCCTGGGATGAACCAGATTAATTTTTGTGCTGGAAAAAAAAAAGAATAAAAAAATTCTGTTTTTTTGTTCTCGGACACAATATAAGAAACACTTATTTCTCTCAATCACTCTCCACTACTATCATTATTATCATCACCATCATCATCCCGACACGACCACCGCCACAATCGTCACCGTCGTCAATGTACTACCAATGTCGTCGTCACCACTACCATGACAATGTCACTGTTACAATCACCACCGCTACCATGACGATGCCATCGCCACCACCTCCATCCATCGCCCACCACTACTAGAGGTGGCAAAGTGGGCGACCCGCCCCGCCATCAACCCTCCAAAAAAAGAGCCAGCCCGCCCTGCCCCGCCTCGTTTGGCGGATTGAGCGGGTTGGCCTGCCAACCCGAGCCTATTTTACACTGACCCGCCCCGGTCCGCCTATGTCCTCTATCAACCCGCCAAAAAATGAGCATGTCCCGTCCCATTTAGCTGGTTGGGCGGGTTGGCCCGCCACCACCACCACGACGCCACCACCACCACCGCCACCACGACGCCACCACTGTCACCAACCACCACCACCACGCTATTGCCACCGCCACAGTCACCGTCACCAACAACCACCACCACCACCGCTGCCAACCACCACCATCATCACTGCCATCTCCATCACCACCACCACCATCGTCATCACTATCACCACTATTATGCCATCACCATCGCTACCATTACCACCACCACTATGTCGCCACCATTACCACCACTATCGCTGCCGTCACCACCACCACCACGCCCCACCACTTCCACCATTGCCGGCGCCACCATTACCGCCGCCGCCACCACCACCACCACCACACCATATGGAAAGAAAAGTGATGATCCGAAAAAAAAATTATGCTTATAGGAATTATTTTTATTGTATTATTTGTTGGGTTATCAAACGCAATTCTCATTCTCAAAATAAAAATAGAACATTTTATCAATCATATTTTTGTTCTCAGAAACTATTCTAAGACATAGAAATAGAAAAGAATTGTTTCTTTTCAGAAAGAGTGCCAAAGAATAGAATAGTTGTCATGCACACCCTTAAAGAATTATAATTACCTAAAAGTTATTGGTCTAGTGATGATACAACTAAACTTTAAGATTTGATCTACTCAAAAGATAATAATTTGATTTTTAAGAGTCGCAAATTTTGGAGAAGGTAAAAAGATATAAATCCAAAATTGAATTAGGTGGTCTTGTTAGAACATCAGACATTGATTTGTATTTTAAAAAAATATTTAATTATATAATGTTAAAACAGGTTTAAAATAATTAATGAGAAATATATTTTTCTTATTGCATGAGATAATTTTTATAAGATAAATTTATCTAATCTACACATTTTTTTTGTGATACATGAGAAAATTTTGTCTCATAGAAACATATTTTTCATAATTAAAACTTAAAAGTTAAAACTGCATAACTACCATAACATGGGGCTAAGAAACTGCAAAGTAAACTCTTCAACTGTATCTCAAAGGTGGGTAATTTTTTTAGAAGTAAAAACTACCCCGAAAAGAAAAACAAAATTAGGGGAACTGCTGCTGAAAAACAAGAATAACAATTAGAAAAGCTCAATAATGATGAAAAACTTACGGATTAAATTTTATTGTATAATTAAATTTCTTATATGTAAAATAAATAATAAAATAAAAAATAAAAAATCAAAGGGACAACCTAAAATAACATCCTCCCGGTGACCTTCTTTTTCGGCTCGGCAACAAGTTAGATATTTTGATTGTTTAGAATGCACTTAAATAACATTCTCCCAGTTACCTTTTCTTACATGATTAAATTTTGTTAATTGTTTGAGTGCAATTTGAATGAGGAGATATTTTTTTATTGAGGAAACATAATTAATGAGAAAATAGTAGGAAATTGAGTTTGATGGAAAATTTTAAAAAAAAGATGTTTGGTTCATCGAAATATTACCGGAAAAATTTATGTAAATTTGTAAAGTCTATGTTTGGTTGAATATAAAATAGTGATGAGAAAATTGGTTGAATTGACCAAAACACTCCCATTATCAATATTTTTTAAACAAACCATTACATAAAAATGAGAGTCCAACATCAATAACTTGATTTCCTTAATATCACTTCCTTACCTATCCTAAAATACCACACCCAAAGTGGTATTTGTGAATAGTTAGTTTGAGCAAAAAAAACACAAATCTAATTGCTTAGGCTTTCTATTTAGCTAGTCTTTTTTTTTTTTTTCCAAAACTTGAATCAAACATGATCTTTTTCAATACCCACTCACGTTTCCCGATCAAACTCAAATAAAAACCTATAACAAACACACCTAAGGGCACAAGTAGATTATGGTAAACACAAGATCTTGGGAGGCCATTATTAAGAAGAAAAAAATTGCATATAAATTCAAAGAAAAACGTGGAGGGAGGGGGCCATAGCATCCCTCAAGGTACACGACACTGTCCTGAAGACAATGACTTTCATGTGGGTAAGGTTTTGCCCTAATTGATAGGGAACTTGCTTTATAGTAGAAAAACATTACTTTTTTTTTTTCTTCATTTGTATTTTGAAAGTGTGAATTTTTTTGAAGAAAAATAAATTTAACAAAAATATCTTAACAAAATATCGCGTAACAATGGCATAGCCCATATAAGCTTTGCAGACCATGCCTGTTAACAAACCACAAAGGACAGAAAACCTATGTTTGTCATGCATGTTAGGTGAACAATTTTACCCCAATAATTTGGATGATATGATATGGCTATATCAATTTAGTAGATAGAGGATATATCACTTTCAAGTGGAAATTATTCATCAAGGATTGATGTATTCACTCCTGGATATTGAAATTTGAAAGTGATTGGCCATGGCTTTATAGCCTGTATTGTCAATTGTCAACTTCCCTCTCTGAAACTATAACAAGCCCAAGAGTGGTCACATATGTACCTGCATATATATGCAATGTTCATACGTGCATGAACTATCCTTCTTGATAGGACTACCAAAGTAAGTTCATGGGCCACTGTTTGATGCAGTTTTGGCCTGACCAAATATGAATGAGATATTGAAGGTTTTGACGTTTCCTTGCTTGAAAGCATGAAGCATTGTAATTATTACAAAGGCAGAGAATCTCTCAACAATTTCCCGTGTGGGGAATTGAGAAAATAGCATGGTCGAGTGCTTCAAATTTGTGACTTTTGTACACGCTAAGGGAAATTAAATAAAAGTTTAAGAATTTTGATCCAAATCAAAGGAAAATGCTAGTTTTCCTACAAAGTTTTTTGTATAAAGATTCATTCAACTATAAAAGTTAGATGTCTATTTTTTCCCCTCTAAAAATAACATTATTATATTTCCAAGCTAGTTTTTTAGTCTCATTATTATTAGTTTTTTTGGAATAGAGCTGGGGTGCCTGTTTGTCTTGGTTACAAGTTTCCCTTTTTATGCTTGATATCACTTATATGCTGATTATTGGGTGAATATTAACTTCTATGCCCATTATTGGACGAATAAGCTTTTTGGGTATGTAATCTGAACTGTTTTCTCTGCTTATGTTCTCTTCTGCTAAGTGATTCTAAGGCAAAGTATACATTTCCTTTTATAGTTTTATTAACCATATGATCACACTTTCTAAAGTTTTATATATGAGAATTTTTTTCATTAAACATGAGATAGCTATCTCATGGTATGAGATATCAAAATTCGCATTATCTTTTTTTTTTAACAAGTGATGGACTCCACTACTTATTGTATTTATGATATAAGAGATGTTATCTTATGTGACATGAGAAAAAAAAAGTCATTTATATATTATTGTTATTAATAAGGGTTTTATATTTCTCATGTAACATAAATTTTTTTTTTTCCTTACACACCCTATTATTTTCGTGTTTATATGAATCTCACGTATAACTTTTTCTAATATACGACTATCATATGACTTTTGTCTATATTGCGTAAGAAGACCCATCTTGTGTAATACAAGGAGTATAAAACTCTATTATTAAAAGCAAGAAGAGGGACCGCTTGTTTTCTTTTTCTTATGTACCACATATCTAATAAAGCAAAAAACTGATAAAAGAACAAATAATTGAGACAGTTGCCTAAAGAAAAAGGCATATGGTGGCAGTAAAGGTACAAGCTTCAGGTAAATGATTTCATTTTGAGGAGATAACTGTACCGTAAGGGTACTATCTTAATCAGAGAGGCAGGTTCAGAGACAACCTGTTGAAGACTCTTCCAAGTTCCAAGACTATAAGGCGTACAGCTTCTGCACAATCACAACAGATTTGAAATTACTGTTCTGAAGCATTAAAAGGTTAAGAATATCCATAATTCCGGAGGAAAATCCTAACCTAGAAGCAAAACGGAAAGTTCACAAACCTGTTAATTTGTTAAACACACATACCCATATTTGCTTTAAAAGTTTAGAGCTAACTAATGATACTATGAACAATTTTGCAAGTGCAAAATGTTCACATTAAATAAACAAAAAACAAAGGAAATTTTGGTTTTAAAGTTGAGTTCCAATGTTCACAATCAATAAGCTTTTCGAGGTAGTGGATGGCGTGAAAATTTCATAGTTTGTTGATTGATAAAACCTAGCCACAGCAACAGACGATCAACATTATACCGTAGCCAACTCCACTTATTCTCTCATTCCAACAAGACAACATGTGCTTTTGTTTAAGCAGGGCCAAGTTGGACATTAAAATACCAGAGTCTTTAAATTAGGTTTCACGAGTGTGTAATAGAAGGAACAGACCCTAGTTGTTTAAATCTCTTCTTCTTCTTTTCTGTGATTAAGGGAAATTGATGCAATCATCCAATTAAGTATTGAAATGAAGGGATAAGTTATTCTAACTACCATTTTTTCTGTCTACCTTTGCCTACCACTTTAAAACATCATTAGATCAGAATCTTAACTAACATTTATCTTTCTCTCTCTTCTTGAGATTCTGATCTAACGGTGTTGGAGGGTAGTAGACAAAGGTAGGCAGAAAAAATAGTAGGTAGAATAACCTATCCCTGAAATGAATATATCATAAGAATACTATGTGCTTCCTTTCTTTTCTCTCAGTATAACCAGATGCATACTTTTGTCTCCATCTAAGAGGCCAATAGGTATAGCATTAGTAGCAAATTTTACCAACCAGTTCAATTAGATTTGCATATTCGAGCTATTAACCCTGCAAGATCAAAAGGTCCGAATAAATGTGCAATATCCTTATCATTATCATTGGGATGTAGAGCATTTTGCATGCATGTCATTTCACATTACTTAAAAAAAAAAACTTGAAATAAAAGAACGAGATAATCCTAGCACGTTTGTTAGTTATTGTCCCACCAAAAAAAAAATTCTAAAATTTCGATTGCTTTGTTTAGTATTTGTTGTAAGCAATGATACTTGTGATATTTTTGTATTGTTACTCTTGAACTTGGGCCTTTTTTCTGTTGTTGGTGGATCAAAATTGTGGCTATTTAATACAAGTTGTTGATGGATTGAACTCAGTATAGAAGATTTCATCTCATAGCTTCATTGTTGGAGGTTGTCCTAGGGCTTTTGTGAGAAAACTAGCTTTTGATACATGTACTGCTGATTCTGTACAAAACTGTTGTGGTTGCTTTCGTTCCAGCAGGATCACAGCTCTCTCCGTTGCTTATCTCAAATTCGCATACTCTCTTTCCACTTTGTTTCAAATTACACATTTGATCAAAATATGCATTGTTATATGGTAAAATCCAGATGTTTACCACTGGTCATCCTTGTTTAATGCTCCTCCTTGATATTGTTCAAACTTCAAAGCCTTATTAATGCTGTACAGTGTAGATCACTGAGACAAATACCAATTTTATGCTATAGTTTTACAGTACAAACCGAATTCCATTTGCTTCTTCCCTGACTTACTTCATTGTGCATGTCCTGTCCCTCATAAATGGTATACAAGGTTGGATCTTCTGTATGGGAGTGCTTCTTCACTTTGCTGTGTAACTTGTCAAGAATCCTCCATGTCACACAATCAGGACTCAGTCCATTCCTTTTCATCTCTCTAACAATTTGGTAAGCTTCATTTTTCAAACCTAGATTGCACGCACAGTTGATCAGAATATTGTAACTAAATATATTTGGAGAGACCCCAGAATCTACCAATTCATACAAGAAATGACAAGCTTCACTAAATTTGCCAGAGCGGCAGAGCCCTTTCAGAATTGTTGCATAAACAAAATTGTCATGAATCCCCGAAGGCCATATAACATTGTGCCAAAAACTCTTTGCCTCTTCTATTTGGTCAGATTCACATAGACCTTCTATAATCACTGTATAAGTGGTACTATCTTCAGTAATGTCATCAGTTATCATGCTATTAAAAACCCTTAATGCATCATTCGGTCTCTTTAGTTTGAATAAGCCTCGTAGAAGAGCATTATATGTCACAACACCAGGCCTTAAACCATTTTCAGGCATCACTCTATGAAATATATCAAGGGCTTCACTGACTTTTGCAGCATCCAATAGACCAGAAATTACTGTAGTGAAGGTCACCACATCAGGTGCAGAAAATTTACCCATCAACATGTCATGCAAAACTTTTAAAGCTTCATCGATCCTCCCCATCTTGCAAAAACCATTGATAACCGTGTTGAGGGTAATCACATCAGCCTCACACTGGCTCTCAAGCATAAACACAAGTACGTTTAAAAGTTCTGTAGGATTGTTCACAAGACACAGAGCTCTTAAGTAGATGTTGTAAATCCTAGTCTTGTCAACACCTTCCTTACGTAACATGAGTTTTAGAACTTCCCTTGCCTTGTCTACATCCAGCACTTGGCAAAGAGCTTCCACTAATACCTTATAAGTATGCTCAGATAGCAAGAAACCAAATTCAGCTCCTTCCTCTAACAACTGATAAGCCCTCATACAATCACCATCCTTGCTAAGCCCATGTATGATATAATTATATGAAACATCACTCGGAACAAAACCTCTCTTCCTCATTACATAAACAATCCTAGCTGCCCCATGATACCTTCCAACTTGGCAAAGTGAATCCATCATTTGGCCATAAGCAACCTCCTCAGACAAACTACTCCCACATGGCAACTCTTCTGCAATCCTAAACACTTCATTGAAAAACCCTTCCCTACACAAAGAATCAACCAAATTTGCAAAGGCCGCAGTCTTAACTGCAGGGTCCGTTTCCACATCCATCCTCTCCCATAACTGGCACATCAGTTCCCTCCCACCTTCCAAATCCCTCTCCCGAAGAACGCCTCGAATTAAAACACTGTATGTCATAGAATTCGGCGCCACGCCACTCTCAAGCATTTCATCAAACACCTTCCGTGCATCTCTGATTCCACCAACCAAGCAATACCCATTAATGATAGTGGTGTAGGAAACAACATTCGGACAATGCCCACGATTTTTCATGTCAAAAAACAACCTGTGAGCATCACCGGGTCGACAAAACCCGCAAAACTGATCCATCAAACGGTTATAGTTAACCAAAGAGGGAACGAAACCAGGCTTGGCACCGATCAAGAAACAAACAACACCCCATGTTTTGTGTGGGGTTCGAGAACCCAGCAGGCGAGCGAGAAGCACGTTGCAGGTTCGCTCGTCGGGGACGCCACCAGAAGCGAGGAAGAGGGAGAAGCGTTGATGGGCTTCGGAGAAACGGTTGGAATCGCAGAGAGAGTGGACGATGCTGGTGATGCCGTGTTGAGAGAGAGATGAAGCGGTGGTAGTTGATAATCGAAGGGAGAGTGCAATCAAGGATTTTGGTTTGTGGGGAATGAGAAAGGTGAGTGCTTGCATTGCAACCAGCTCGTTAAGCTTCTGTTGTGTGCATATTGCTAAATGCATTTGCAATGCTCGACCTTGATACATAACAAAAATCAATTTCTTGTTGTCGAAAAAGTTGATATAGATGCTAGAACCTTAACTGCTGTAAAATCGAAATATGAGAAAGCAAAACTTGAGAAATTAATAAGGATAAAGAAGGTTTAGGAATTAGCTTGCAACAAATCGTGTTGGGAGTTGTGGGGATCCTCAAAATGGGCTGAAGGAGCCAAAGAAAACTGATTCAGACTTACACCCCAACGGGCTTATCCAAGACATGTCAAGCCCTATCAAAGACATATCTTTATAGGGGTCAATGACCCATTTCATGCAATTTTTTTTTTTTTTAAAAGAAAAATTCTTAACAATTATTTTCAAACATGTATAATTCCCATTAATGGTGTTGTTTTTCTCCTGTTGCAAGGAAAACAACACCCTTCCCACTAATACATTGATTGTGGTGATTTCTTATTATTTTTTGTTTTTTTTTTTGTTTTAAGCTAGTGGCACCCACAAGTTTTTATTAGTGCAGGAATGGATATAATTTTTTCTACAACACAACATTGATAATTCCCATTAATTTAATACAGTGAGTCCCCACCCATTTCATGCAAGAATAGTCCCGTACATTCCCATAAAAGACTGTCACATATTGCAAACCTTTTAAGGTCTCTTCTTAAGTAATGTGGGACTTGAAGCTATGATAACCACCTAAAATAATTCCAAGTTTGGAATTGATCATTGATAAACCGTTAGTTTATAAGATTTTTAAAGCATGAATTAGTTTAATTTGTGTGATTAAATGGATAGAAAAGAGGGTTAATGTCCTAGAAAGTCATAAATACAAATTCTGGAAGCTTTGTTGAAAATTTATATTGTTCTTGTAGGAAAATGAAGCTCAATGAAGCAAAAGAGAGAAGGAAGAAGATTCTGAAGAATGGAAAAATTCTAAGTGTTGGGCGCTAAAACGTCCAAAGTAAACGTTTTAGCGCCTTGCTGTTCAAAAAGATGCGGGTCTTGAGCGCTAAAATGATCAATTCAAGCATTTTTGCCCCGATGACAGTTAAAAGTGGTTAGGCATCTGTCAAGTTGAGCGTTAAAACGTCCAACAATGAGAGTTTTAGCGCCCATGTCAGTTTTTGGATGTAATTCAGTTAGAATTTCTAAACTATATAGGAGCAAAGGGCCTTCGTTCTCTAATATATCTATTCTAATCTGACTTTTCTCATCACACTAGGAGAGGGGAGATCAGATCAGATCTTTCATAGATCTGATTTGACTCCTCATTCTCTCTGAATTTCCAAATTCTTTAGGATTAGTTCTTGTATTAATTAGTTCATTCTATGTAATTGTACTTGAAGATTGAAGACTCAACTATCATGACAATGGAGTTTGATCTTTCTTCTTCTCTTATTTATTCTTTAATTATGTCTGAGTAGAGTCCTTTGTAGTCTGATTCAATGGAACTCAAGTGTGAATTTGTGAATGGTTAATTAGATATTTTGTTTATCTTTTATGTGATTGTATGAAGTTGTCTTGATCAATTCTTTATGTTAAAGGAATAGTGTAGAACAGACATGTTTACATTGTTTTTATATTTGACAACTTCAGCATCAGTGTTCTAGTAGTCAAGACATTGATGTTAGGATTCTGATGTGATCTTAAGATCTTAGTAATTAACATATATATATTAAGAAGGGAATCACCAAGGGATTGGGGTTTCTGATTAATGTATCAATCAGGATAGTAAGACATTACATCTTGATGATAAGAAAAATGTTGATCAACATCACATAGTAGATAATTCATTATGAAAATTGGTTCATCCATAAATTCATGCTTGAGGGAAATTGACATCTGACTACTTATTTAAATTATAATAACATTTTATTTGTTTTATCAAATCTTAATTCAATTCAATTTCTGGTGACAAGAAATCAATGCAATTTATGATTTTTTGGTTGATTCAACTTAAATATTTATGGTTAGTAAGTGCTTGAACACAAATCGTCGTGGAAGTGATCTCTACTTGATCATTTTATTACTTGTGTGACTAGTACACTTTCTAAGTCAACAACAATCACCAAGACTTAAAGTCTTATAATGTAAGGCAAATGTAGACCATATATATAATAACTACTCTTCAATTGAGATTATAATGACTTTTGCAATAGAACCACAACCGCAAGCTCCCAATTATGTGTAATTCGTTTTTTTTTTGTTTTTCATCGCTCTTACACTCAGCTTTTCCATTATTTAGATTGCACTTCACGGGACACGTATGAATTCCCCCCCTCCCCACTTTTTTTCTCTCTTCCAAAGTCACTAGCATCCCATGAGTTTTGAACGAGTAGCTCTTTCTACTCTGAGAATAAAACTTTTAGTAAATCTTCTGACCATACTTTTCATGTTGTTCTAACTTCTAAACAATTTTCATTGCAGAAGCTAGCCCTTCATTCAGAATTGATCAATTCAAGACACCATATATAAGACACATGATATGTATAATTGCCCTGATAAATTATTTTCAATGGCAAAGAACAGAGAGTAGAATAAATTATTTTATATATTATTCAATTTTTCATATCAACCACAACATACCGCATACAAATAAGAGTTAAAGAGAGAGAGAGATAAAGGTGGTTTTTAACATCTCTTTTCTCAAGACCAGAACATCATAAGAGAGTGAATGCTTCCTATGGCCTCAAAAGAGGAAAATAAGAAACAAACAAACCAAAATAAATAAAAGCAAGATAAGTCTCCTGTATATATATATAGTATATAGCATGCATCTTCATTCATCAATAGTGCAAAACATAAACATTGTACTCAACTATAGAATCCTTTGTTTTTGGTGAGAACCAATGAGTTCTAAGTTGAGCATAACCCCTAGCAAAACGAAAAAGCCCACTACCACCAATCACAGGCATCTCCCTAACCTTGTTGAAGATCGGGTTCCTCCCAAAAATAGTGATGGTACTTCCATTATACTTCCCTTCCACGATGGCAAAATTCATAACCATGAGCAAATCCATCTCACTCTGTGATGTAGAAGCAAAGAACCCCTGAGCTTTCCCCACCAATTTTGAGCTCAATTGGGGTCCCAGGGTCAAAGGGTTCTCAATCATGTTCACGAAACCAAAGCCTGTTGTTGAGTTCAATGGTGGTGGAACAACCAAAACAGAAGAAGGGTTTCTTCCACTCACTATATCATGCCAATAGAACTTGAAATGGCTTAGCTTTTCTTGCTTGTCCAAACCCAACATTTTGTGGTCTAGTGGACGCATAAAATCATCACTTTCATATGCTGTGATTGATATAAAGGTAGTGCATGAGAGGAAGAGGAAGAGGAATTGAGTAAACATGGTTGGTTGCTGGTGATGGAGGAAGTTCCTATGTTGATCAGCCATAACCAAAATGAGGTGTGGAGAGAAGGTATTGGATTTTGGAAATGGAAACACAACTACTTATAATGACACCAATTTAACATTTAACATGGCAGGGAACCAAAATATTATTAGCGGTTGGCATAATTGTTCAGTGTGGTTCATACTTCACAATTAGATGACAATTCTTGTCCCAAAACTTTGGCTTTTATTATTATCATATCGGTTCATTTTTTCTAATATTATTTTATAAAATTTGTCTATTATTTACTGAAATGACATTATTTTAACGTGAAAATTATGGTGTATTCGTAATTTTAATTTATTCCATGTTATAATAATTTTTATCATTCTAATTTTTTAATTTTTCAACCCCAGAATAATATCATTTCATTGAACATTAGAGAATATTTTCTAAAGTAATTTTACTTTATTTTTTTTAGGTAAACAATATACTTTATTCCCTTATTATATATATAAAATGATATTTTTTTAATAATAATAGACTATTAATCCTAATAGTTAACCCCTCCCTAAAAAATATTTATAATAACTAATCCCTCCTATTAGTCTTGATAATATTTATTGATCTTTAATTTTTGTCTTCCATCATAAAAATTCTAGGGTTTGTCACTGGGTAGGGAAGCAGCCTCGGTAGGATGTAGGGGCAGCACCAACTGACACCATGGAAGTTTGGTATTGTTATGGTCTTATGGACCTCGATTTTATTTCACTTTTTCAATAGTTTTGAGCTTAGGCTCATGAATAATTATTATTATTTAAGGTTTATAAGCTTATTTATGGTGCCTGTTTGGAATATCTTTTTTTAGCTTCTCTTTTCCTTATAAGCAGATAAGCCAAACAAATTTTTATAAAAGCACTTATTATAAAAAGAGCTATTTTTTGTAATGAAGAAAAAAGCTAAAAGCTCACAAGAATAACTTTTTTTAAAGATTTATGTCAGCTTTTTTGACTCCTCATATATTTTACAGTTTTATTCTTATTCTAAATTTGTATTTATAAAATTTATCATTTACTATAATAATTCATTCTAATCAAGGTTGAACCCATGAGGGGCTAGGGTGGGCTACTTCCCCCTATAAGCCATATATATAAAGATTTATGTCAGCTTTTTTTTGACTCCTCATATATTTTACAATTTTATCCTTATTTTAAATTTGTATTTATAAAATTTATCATTTACAATAATAATTCATTCTAATCAAGGGCGAACCCATGAGGGGCTAGGGTGCCCTATATATATATATATATATATATATATAATTTATCTATTTAAAGTTTATTTAAAAAATTTAACAAAATATAATTAAATAAATAATGAACATAATATAAATTATTAAATTATATTAAGTTATATTATAATTGTTTCTTTAGAATTTTTAGTATAGATTGAAGATTGTACGTATTAAACTAGTTCAAGCAGTTCAACCAATAATTTATTGGCTGAACCAATGATCCATTAATTCGGTACCTCAACAAAGTCGATGACCAATTCGAGTTTAAACAGTACTCCATAGTCGTGTTTTTATGTGACGCTAAGACTTATATGTAGGATACATCAACACACATGCATGAGATTTCTTAAAATGCTTAATTTGATTCGAAGCTAAAAGTCACTCATACCTACCTTCCAAAACCTAAAGTTCTTTAATCATTGCTCTCTTAATCTTCCATAACTTCATAAATCAGTTTTAATCATTTTAATGCCTCAAAAGGACATTATATATAGTGTTTTGCTTTCCTTGGGAGTGAGTAATTTATGTGTTATGACTTCATTATGAGCAGCGGCAAACTAATGTGGACAAGTGCAGACATAAATTTGAAGATACATTTTTTTTTTGAGTAAAGAAGAGATACATTTTTTAATTAATTAAAAATATAAGGAGTAATTTTAGTAGATGTACAAGAAGGTACACTGCTTATGTTTTAGTGTTTTTATATCATTCAGTTGATTACTATTTTTTTATGTTAAATTAAAATTTTCTTTTCTTTTCTTGTTTGGAGATTATATCCCTCATGTTATATAAATTAAATTTTTTATCATATTAAGAAAAAAACAAATTAATATTAAAGAAAGTGAGAGGGCACATTATTCAATAAATTGGTCTTATTTTTTTCTTAACATGACAAAAAATTTAGTTTATGTAACATGAGGATATAAACCCTTCTTGTCTATATTCTTTTATTTTTTAATGTATTTAAAACTTTGTTTTAAAAAAAATTTGGGGGGCAACACACCACTAAATGTGCAGATATAAATAAAATTTTCTGGTTATGAGTACTCGAATCCTAAGCTGATAATATGAGAGACTTGGTATAAGCTTATATAGATTTCAGTATAGTTTCTATTCTGCCTAGAGTTGGCAAAATGGGCTCAGCCCGCTGGGCCGACCCGCCCCGCCCGCCAAACGGAGCGGGGCGGGCTGAGTTTTTCAAATCTGCTGCCCGCCAAGCCCGCCTGAGCTGATTTTTTTTTTTAATTTCTAGTGTAAAATGTCACGGGCTTGGCAAACAGCCCGTCCCGCCCGCCCAAACAGGGCGGAGCGGGCTGAGATTTCTAGCCCACCTTCAAAGGCGGGGCGGGGCGGGACAGGCAGCTCGCTTTGTCATCTCTAAATTTCTATCGTTAATAACTAGTTTTTCTAGAAAAAAAAAATTAGAACAACTTTAAAATTAGTGAAATCTAATTAATAACGTTTCCAATTGCAAGTGATGCTATTAATCAAAGACGTATCGTGACTCCATAAGCCATTTTGAACTGTTATTGCAATATTCATATTTTCAAGGAAACATAAAAGATAAAATAACAGTACTACGTGGTGGTTAAGTTTGGTTAAATTGATTAGTTAATTAGCTAAGTCATATAATTAACTATAGATGCACATGTAATTAGTTTTAATTAATTGATAATCAGTTAATTCTACCTGTATCTAGGTCATTTTATAACTATTGTGTTATCCCTATTAGGACTTTTATCATTCCAATCCAAGTTGAATTGGTATTTTAGTCTTCCATTTCAATTCTAACAAATAACAATATTATTAATAACAATATTATTTTGGTGGTCACGTTTTCTCTTGGACGAATCTGAAATCATAAGTAAAAGGAAAATGGTGAGTATAAATACTCAGTAGGAAATTTAGCGGTTACAAAAAATTGGCTTAATAATTCCAATCGTGTTCATCACGGAAAATTCCTTGGCTGTTGATTATATACATATCGGTATGTATGTATATCTATATTTATACAAGCAAGTTGAATTTGAGTAAAACTCTAGCTAAACAAAATTGACAAATCCGGGACCAAAATGCTTAATATGGAAACTTATATGGAAACTTAAAAAAAAAATAGAATTAATTTCTCTCTAATTTTAAACCATAAAGCTTTTTTTTTTTTTTTTTTTGGTAACCAAACCATAAAGCTTTAAGGGGGCGTTTGGTTGAGGAGAAATTTTGTAAATACTAGGTAAATATAATTGATAGGGAAATGGTTGGAAAGTGAGTTAGATAGGAAAATGTAAAAAAAGTTGTTTGGTTGGAAAAACATTTACCGGAAAAATTAAGTGAATTTATAATGGTTATGTTTGGATCCAAGTAAAATTTAGATGGGAAAGAAGGTTGGAAGTTACCAAAATAACCCTCACTTGAATAGAATAGGGTAGTGTTTACTTATTCTTTCTCATTGGATCAGTCTAATCACTCTTGAGTTTCCAGGAAACAATTGTCAACATGGCAATTGCTGGTGCAATTGTTGGAGCAGCAGTGGGTGGTTGGATTAACGATGCTTATGGACGAAAGAAGGCCACCCTCTTAGCTGATGTGATCTTTGCTCTCGGAGCGATTCTCATGGCTGCTGCACCGGATCCTTATGTTCTCATAGTGGGACGTCTTTTGGTCGGTTTGGGTGTCGGCATAGCTTCTGTTACTGCTCCTGTGTATATTGCAGAAGCATCGCCATCTGAAATAAGGGGGTCATTAGTGAGCACAAATGTGCTCATGATAACTGGTGGACAGTTTATTTCCTATCTTGTGAACCTTGCTTTTACAGGGGTTAGTATTCCATGCTCTGCTGTTGAATTGGGTGTTGTCGATATCTTCCATTTTGAATCATCTCTCTATTCTTCTCAGAGGGTATAATGGGTGTGCAAAAATAACAAAAACAGTGGTTTACCCATCTTTGTGCAAAAAACCACCGAATGAAAATCTTTCTGAACAGTGTCGATAGATGGATATTCATGAGAAAATTGAAAAGCAAGGCAAATTGGATAGATGGCCTTTTTGATTGAATCTATTCAACCAAACATTGATTTTCTGAAATCCATGTTACATTTGCATAGGAAACTTGGCTTGCACCGTTAACCAAACAACACCTAAATTCATAACAAGCAATGTCATAATTCGTTAGCGCAAATTACCGAGGGAATTTTTTTTGTCTTTTCACAAATTTGTGTCATTTTAGTAGTTATAATAATGTACTACGAGTAGTATATAATTATAATATTAAAGTTATATTTTTTCTCTATTCAGAAGCTGTCTGTTGATATGAAAAAAGTAAAAAAAGTACAACTTTAATATTATAACTATGTTCTACCTGTAGTACATAGTTATAACTGTGAGAGTAAATATGCTAAGTTAGGCTAAATTTTGACTTAAATAGACCACGTTTGTGTAAAAAAAATTTAGATCTAGCCTAGCCTATTAGCCTGTGTAGACCCAAATTACAAGTCTAGTCTGACCTATATTTAAAAAATAAAAATTTTGGTCTAGGCCTGTTAGCCTGTTTAAGCCTATTAAACATTTCATAATTAAAAAAATATATACATAGGACTTAGAACATAAATGTAAAGGTGTATAGTATATAGCATTGCATGAGCTTAAGTCATTCAGATTATTGCATAATCAAAAAATGCGTAAAAACCTTAGTTCAATAGGTCAAAATTACATTGGAAGGTCCTTAACATGATCTGAGCACACAAACACATCTACATAGTCCAATTATATGTGTTACGGG